GTTTCTATATGGTTTACCATAACTACTAGTATACATTTGCAAGGCAAACAAACACGGGGAGACTGTTTACTTTGTATTTCAGTGCTGAACAAACATGAAATTAGAGTTTGCTCATTCATTTAATATGAAAACCAGCAGTTAAATCCAAGCCCGGTTAGGTGAGCGTCATTTTCTGGGGTGATGCGGTCACTGTGACACAAAACACTCACTCAGCTATTCAGGGAGTACGTTTTTGTTCTTCTGTTTTATAGCTTACTATTTTAGTGTCAACAAAGAGTATGAAAAACAAAATCAGGCAAAGAAAGTAAGGTGGGTCAGCTGCATATTGCATTTATGGGAGATTACATTATTTGCAATGGTGATGTCGTTTTGCTAAAGCCACGTTGCGTGACAAAAGTGGGTAGTGCATATTTTACAATGTGTTTATCTAGTACTCATGCCTAAGGGTAACATAACCACAGAAAAGCTCACCTTGCAGGTTCAGATTTTTGCTTTTTTTCCTCTCTTGAAGGTACGTTTTTTTTGGCCTTTTTTCCAGATTAAGCTGTTAACTGTTGTCTTGTTAAATGTTAACGAGTCATCTCCACATTTTATCAAAAGGTTTCACAGTCACTTAATAGTTAACACATTTCAGCCCCTGGGATTGTTGTTTTATCACCAAAATCAAAATATGCACTTTTTCAGAACCGTCCCTCATTCACATGTTCTGACAAGGTTTTCTCAAGTTCCTTGGCTCTAGGTTGTATTTGCAGTATTATAGTGTTTTTCAGAACACCTTGATACTTAAAATCATAACAAAAACAGCTGTACAATTTGCAGGGAAATTCAATACTCTACAGAACTGGCCTGTAAATAAAGATAAGATAAGATAGATGGATAGATAGATGCTTTGTTGCTCCCACAAGATACATTTTTGTGTTAGTATTAACAGTTCTTGTAAATGTTGATGTCATTTATTTAAAAAATTAGTTCTCTACACTTTCTTTCTTACTTTTTGGATTTGAATGTATTTGAATTTTTTGAACAATTCTGGTAAATGTTAAATACTCTGCATCAGTGCCTTCTCTTTTGTACTTTACTATTCATAGATGAGTCATGTCTGTAATGGAAAATACCGTACCACAAAGTACAAACCTAATTTACTTGTGAAATACCCATCTTTAAGTTCTGTTTTGTTGTTTTCTGTCAGTGTTTTTTTTCTTTTTACCTCAAGTACCTGTTCCATGGGTGTGTACATTTTTTCACATCATGAGGTCATGTGTGAAAAATGTACTGAAAAACAGTCATGCCATAACAAATCAAAACCTGTTTCTACGTAATGATCCAGATATTTTAAAAAAACAAAACAACCCAAAAAAAAGCGTCTCTATCTTAAACACGCACGTCGAATGTTTCTCTGAGCTTTTTGTTTGTTTTTGCTCCTCCTCTTGTCCTGCCTTTGAGTCCAGAGGGAGAGACTTTGAAACTAAAGTTGGCAGCGTTCCTCGGCGGTGACACACGCTGAAGTATCACCTTATTGCTCACTTTTAGAAAACACCAAAAACACAAAGAGCTCAACCAGATGTTCGAGTTCTGCTCTTAAAAACAGAAGTGTAAACACTCGCTGAAAGAAAAAAAAAAAAGAACTTCCAACTGTTCATTTTTTTGACACGCTGTGCTGTTTTGTGTGCGTGCAGCCTAAAAATTAAAGGCAGACCAGAAAACGAATAATTTCCCTGTTATTGCTACAACCCACTGTGATTGTGTTTCATGGTAGTCGGAAGTAGCAGACCCGTGGGTGTTGAGGAGGAGATCCCTCTGTGTTCCAGCGGTGTCTCAGACAGGCGTGTTGCCTCACCTGGTGCTGTGTTTACCTCAGATGGTAGGATTAGGAAGCAGCCATGTGGAAGATACGACTCTAATCCATCGTGCCTTTGCTTGGCACTTAGACATGGCCCTCTGCAACACTTCCGCTCTCCTAAAGTTAGAGCAACGCCCTTAAGGAATGTGAGAAATATCAGCACCGTTTCAAGACTCTTGAGCATGATGCAGCCACGTGGGGTTCAGTTTACCTCGTGGAGGAGGTGGGTATGGGTGCTGATGATGGCAACCATCAGCCAGATAGATTCAGATTTATTGGATGGATCTGGGCATCGTTATTTCTCTAGGCTTGTGCCTGGCCTCTACGGCAACGAGATACTTTCGTTTTCCTTTTTTAATTTTTTCCCCTCATGTGCACAAAACCCTTTTTCAACGTAGAGTAGCAGATAAGCTGGTATCATGAAAGAAAATCTCTTAGTTAGATAAAATCCTGAATGTTGTCTTTTTAAACTTGCCGACATTGATTAGGCAGTGATAAAAAGCTCATAACCTGCAAGAGGGAAGGCTGACCTCTGCATGCTCACAGTCTGCTGCTGCACCCCAATCTTATATACTATAACTTACTGAGCTTCCACGTTTACAATACTGATATTTTTCTGTCTGGCTGAGTTTCTTTCTTTCTTTCTTTCTTGCTTTCTTTCTTTCTTTCTTTCTTTCTTTCTTTCTTTTTAAAGAAATTTCAGGCAAAGTTTCATTTTTTTCTGCAGAGATGGTTTTAAGTATAAATTAATAAAAATAAAATGAAGTGCAGCTGCCCGTTTGTTTAAAAGCTATAATGACTTTGCACTGAATGATAAATGCAGTTGTTTAAGGCCGAAATACTGGCTTGCGATAACTTTGATATCTGATTTTGTGCAAAGGACATAATCAAATCTATAAATGAATATGCATTTAATTTACATGTTAAATGTTTTATTACCATTGAAGAAAGGGAGCTACAGCGTTTTTCTTGTGCGTTTCAGAGGACTTGCCCTTGATATCGTGGCCAAATCACCACCCCAATCACAAATGGTGGAAAGCAAAACTCTTATTTATCCAATGTACTGATAATTAAGCTGTTCTCATTAGTTACATAATTGGAAATGTAATTAGCAATAGTAATAATTATTGCATTTAATACCTTTTCTCTTTTAGTTATCAGGCTCATTCAAGCTGGTAATTAGCAGTCGTGAGAATTCTATACTTTCGTCCTAATTCATTTTGGTCGCCAGTTATTTATAGTGTATTTTATATCAATAAATCATTACCATATCCATTTAGATTTTTCAGTAAACATACAAACACCGTGCTCACTCAAATGTTTGTTTCATGTTTTGTGTAATAACAAAGCAAAACTCTATCTGCATAGTTGCAGTTCTACTTTGCCTTAACTAAGCCTTACAGTGAGACGCCTGACAGAGCTCAGCAGCGAGGTTCCGAAAATGGAAAATCTCATTCGTATTTTCCGTAAGGATTTCTATTATGAGCAGTAATGTTGTAACCATCCAAAGCAGACTTACTCTGAGCTACAGCATTGTGAAATGATGGCACACGTTCCTGTAGAAACCACAAGGCTGTGCGATATCCACCTCGTTTTAACAAAGATGCAGTTTATTCTCTCCAGAGTATGCAGTCGGTTCTGTTCGTTAGCTGTCAAGCAGCCACGGTTTTCAAGATATCGTGCTCAAATTTTGTGTCGTGGTAAAACACGAGCTAATTTAATTTTGGTGAAAATCAGATCAAGGTCAAGTTCACATGAAATGTATAATTTATTTATGGGTCGTCTTCAAATTTCACAACAATATACTAGGAAGTTGTGGCCTTGAGTACCGGGCTGTTTGCACCCCAGGTCAAAGTTGACCTTGAAAAAACTTTTAAAGAAACCACAATGGGCATCATGTCATCTGAGTGAGCTGTACAACACACGACAACATCACAGCGATTACATAAAATTTAGCAAAATCACACATGGCACGAATATGTCTTAAAATCTCAAATTTGATGCTGAAGAAGTCAGCTAATTCTGCTTCAGTCACATGGCTGAAGATAATAAAATATATAATTTTACTATGTAATGCTTTAAGGTCATAGGTCAAAGTTCAGATATCTGGGTGTTGTTATAAAAGCAGGTTGACGTCAGGATGTTGTAATAAAAACATCATAAAACATCAGTGTTTTAGAACAGCCCTTTGAGGCGAGTCATTCTCTCCGAGTGCGCTTGTTTGCAAAGTCATGGAAAGGACTAAACTAAAAACAGCGTCATCTCTGATCGGTGGACGCCGCTGTTACCATGGAAGTGTCCAAGCCCAACAAACCAATTTAAGAAACTGCCGAAGAGGTGTTTGCAGTCAGGGATGATATTTTGATTTATGCTTTACTACACAAAACACAAAATGCAAATTAGATTCGAAACTACTATTAATATTTAACACTATTATTAACCATATAAACATTATGATAATGATAAGGTTTGATTTTCAATAAAGCTTAAAGATACTGTGGAATCTGGATACTGTGGAATTTGCAATGCATTATGGGATGAGTAATGCCTTTCAAGTAATCATGTAAACAGTCTTGCACCTTGGTCTTTTTTTTCCCCCTTTATTTTTTCTGCAAATCAAATCTTTTTATGGTCATGATTCACTCATAGCTGGTTGTCTTGTTTCAAGCCTTTAAACTCTTTACATCAGGATTTTCGTCAATAAATGAAAATGAATGGGAAGTTCACTTCTGGAGCCAAAGCCTTTAGAAAACGGGGTACTGATGTGCTTGTTTTGTTTGACCATCATAAAACGAGTTGTTTCCCCTTTATTTACCAAAACCAGCTGCATAGCTGAATGCAAAACTGCTCCACAGAGAGGTTTCTACACAAAAGAGAAAAAGAAGTTGATTTTGATTTGAGAAGTTTGATTTTAAATACTGTATATTGGACATAAAAACTAAATTTTATATAAACTTTATTGTCCCATAGATTCACACATTTGAGTGACTTGGTGGTTTGAAGATATTAACCTCTACATTCAGTTTGTTATTTGCAACATTGGTAATGGCATCTTTGCTGCAATCTGCGCAAATGCTTTAAATCTCTTATTTCAAAGAAACTACATGTGATGTAAACGGACTATATGTGATGTAAACAGCTGTTTTATGTTTATCTACAGAAATCAGATGGCAGCAGAGTGAGCATCGGCCAGAGGCGATAACTCCTCAGCGGATTAGTCTTCAGCAGACATTATTCAACAGGAAGGTGAGTCTTTAACTTTTATTCATGCACCATTTTTATGTGGTATAGCAAATATAGGTAAAAAAAAGAGACTGCCACTGGCTTTCCTCCCTGTCTTTGACAGATCGGCCCATGTGATTTGTAATTCAATTGTATACCAAAAAAAGAAAGAAAGAGAAAAAAAAGCAGTTCGCACATTTGTCATTAGTTTTCTGTTTTCTTCAGTGGGAAACAAATTATTGGATAATTGACTTTCGCAAAACACAAAATGTGTCATGCAATGTGCGGTATTGCTGTCTTTGCTCCATGTCAAAGTTGCACCTCTGTTTCTTGGAGCAACTTAATTGTCTCAAACATGCACAGAAGCAGCACGTTCGAGTCATGATACCCCAAGGCATAGATTAATTAAGCTATGAAAACCCATGAGCAGAGAGCATTCAGCAGGTGCCTGTTTGCCTTGGTATGGGACTTGTTTTTGGCAGTGGTGCAGTGGCTCATTATAAATCTATAATTAAGTTACAATTTTATTTGCTTTTTTTTTTTAACATACTGTCATAGGGGATCAACATGGCTTAAACTCTGATTCTGTTAAGTGCACTCTTGGCTATATCGCTTTTATGTCTTTATTCTTCCTCAGGAATTATGCTTTGACAAAAAAATGTGAATGAGAGGCTGAAAACGATACTGTGTGTGTCACTTAGTGCTCGGTATCCCACGCCTCCTGCAGGTGTTGATGTGATTCTTAAAATCTGCTGATTTGTTCTTAATCCAAAGCAAGCTGATTTGCCCACTCCTTTACCTCCTTGTATCTCGGCACATAAACAACCCCCCCCACCCCCTCTCCCCTGCTGGCTGAAAGGATGGTCCTGAGAACCCCCCACAGTTCGACTCATCCCGTGTTGGGCATGTTGGCAGAGCTGGGTGATTGCGATGTAGCGGCTCTCTCAGGCCAACATCTGTTGTTCTGAGTCACCTGCCAACAAAGAGGGAGGGTGAGCTGCACAGTGAGGGGCCTGAAGGAGGGATGAGCAGGTCTGCGGGGGAGAATCCCTGTATCTGCAGGGTGGTCAGACTGAATGAGAGTCACCACCACGGCGGTAGTCTTTGCCAAGAGCTTCCTCAAGCTAACAATGTGGCCTGTGGAGGGGCAGACTAGGCAGGAAATTGAGGTTAACGACATTGTTACATATTAAGCAGGGGTTGGCTGCCTCCGTAGGCAAATCCTTGAATAGTCAAGCATGTTATTATTCACACGTGAAATCTATTAAAACTCACACAGTGTTGGTGGTTCAGTCAAAATATCCATTTTTAGTAATGTAAAAAACCCCCACATATTTTTGGTATTGCGCTGGAAAGCTTCCTCAGAGTTTTGAGTTTGAAAATCATAGATTCAAAATAAAAGTTTAAATTAGTTCTCATGTTTCAAGTACCATTATATCTGAGTGACCAGGAGATCACTGCGGTACACTTGAATCTGAATTGAATAATACATCTACAAACTCTCTTCAAGTGAAGTGACTAGTCATCAGTTGTGACTGTTATGAGTGTTTTCACAGGTGGTAATTGTGCACTACAGCACAGGTCTGTGCTTTAGCTTTCATAGCTCAGTCCTTACAAGTGAATCTCCACACTTTCCTTCACTCTTTCCCCCACTGTGCTTTGCCCAGGGGAGAGACGCCTTCTACGTGTTGTAATAAGGGTAGCTGATATAATGAAGGTCATTGTAATCAGAGCTAATGTGCCAAGGAGTCAAGACACTGTAGCTTTATTTGCCAGCAAGGCCCGGCATTTGGTACCCATGGGGATCAGGCTGATAGTGTTATCTTTGCTAACCTGACTCTAATACAGGCCTTGCTCCGCTGTTTGTGTCAGCGTCGGAGCTGAACTTTTCCCAGTGATCCCCTCCATGTGTGGATGGGCATGGATTGGGCTCTACTCTGTTCCATCCTGGTTAAATCCCATCCCAAGGTGTTTGGCTTCTCTCAGTTCACGTTCTGCATTTAGCGAGCAGCGCTCCCTCTCTCTGACTGTCGGACTTGGGAAAACAGGCTGGGCTTCAATGGAATGTACTTGACATAGAAACATTACATTGGCATCTGTTGAGAACTAGCTCGTAAGACATGACCTCTAAATCTAATCCTGTCCCTTAGGATATGCAAATGTCCTCAGCTCAAATTTGATTTGTTTTTGACTGTTCAGGACACGGCCGTTTGTTTATAACTGTTATCTAACACAGCGGCAGGAAAAAGCCGTGTTCGGTAGACAGTTTCGATATTATTTTCTTGTAAAAATTTACCTTAAATGTTAGAATTAAAATTCTTCTTTTTTCACCAAGTATTCGGTAGAAAGAGCTGACCTGAAACGAGTTTTAGTTTCAACCAGGAAGTGAAAACTTTATGGTTAATACCGTGTTTAGTTGCAGTTAAGGTTATTTGTAAAACTGACTGAACCGTTAAACATGTTATGCTAAAAAGTTTTTACAACTACAGATTCACAACTGTCTTCTTCATTATTGAAAATTTTACCTCGAGGCTCTGATGTCTGATATGTGACCTGATATTTATCTAGGAAAAAAGAAATACCCCATCCCTACTGGGCATCATCAGCAGAGCTTCAACATTAATTTCCATTTTTCTTATTTTTTTCATAGTCGCCTTTTAAACTTGGTGCTTTCAGTAGCAAACATCAAAGATCCTTTTTCCTATTCATCTGAGCACCTCCTGGAAAAAAAAAAAAGGCTATCCATATCTAACCCCATGAAAGTCCCCTGATCCCATCATTCAAACTTCCAAGCCTCTCTTTGTGGCTTCCTAGAGGACCACGGTGAAATGATCTCTTTTGTTTCGCATCATTAGTTCCATCTGTTGTGCGAGCAGGCCTGTCTGTTCCGGAGCATGGCAACGTGATGGTCGCCAGGGGCGATTGGAGACGCTGCCGTCCCGGTGGCTTGTGGCTCAACCTCTGCCACCACCATTGCCTTGTCCCTGATCCCCATGACACCATCCCATTCGCTTCACAGTTTCTGCTTATTTATTCATACATTTGAGCAGATAATAAAAACGTAAGCTTCGTGTACATGCAGTACTAGTTTACCTTATACACGAGGCCCCTTAGGAGAAGAGTTTGGTTCAGTTGGGACCACATTCATACAATCGTTTGCAAACAACATACAGATTTGAATCTCTATACCTCAAACGCTTAAATGTCCACTGTGTGTCAAAAACGAGCTTTAATAGGTCAGATTTGTGTGCTTATTTTCCTGCAGTCGGGAGTAAATGATGCGCCAAACAGATGTAGCATTTTCTCACAACAAGGAAATATTTTATTCATGATTTACATGAATGATAAATCTTCAGAAAGTCTTAGCGCTGATGGGCATACACAATTTAACATCTGTCTTCCTCAGAATAATTAATCGCTTACCAGAACACTCGGGACTCAGAGTTGGATTTTTCCTCTCACTTTACTTGGTCTAATTACTTCTTTAAAAGCAAAGCTTTCTCTAAAGAAGACTTGAATGATAAACACAGCAGCCGTACGCTCCGCAAAAGGAAAAGTTCAGGAAAGATGAAGGAAACGTTCTGCTCTCGCTTCTTAGTGCCGTGCCTGTAAAACCAAGCAAACCCCACCATACTTAAGACAGAGAAATGTGGCCATACATTCTAATTATAATTCGTAATTCCCAAATGAACATTTCCATAATGTCTCCCAAGTGAATTGCTCTTATCACCATAGTGTGAATGTACAGCACAAGGGCATCCGTGTGCATGTCAATGCGGAGATCGCCAGATAATTTTCATTGAAGATGGAGCCATCAAAGGTCATAGCCATCCGAATGACCTAACCTTGCAATGTAACACCTGGGTGTAAAAGTGGACTCATCCTATCTACTGGGATGGGTGTAATGTACCTCTAATGTATAAAGTGCGGAAATAAAATAAGAGTTATAGGTTGGTGGAGGAGGCTCAGTGTGGGCTAGAGAATACTGTAACTCTATAGGTTGAATAGCTGTGTTGGTATCACCCGAGGTGACAGGCTATTGCCAAAGTGCTGTATTTGTTGGAACCATTATGAAATAAAGTGTGTGGAAAAGGGCAATATTCAGTTTGAATTGATTCTTGGAAAACTCAAGAAGTGAATATGCTTTCATTTTGATGGTATTACTATGGGCAAAATGTGTTGTGTCAGTTTCACCTCGCCATTACTTTGCTCCATTAAGGCAAAACCGAGTGATTTTATTTTTGCCCAGTCTATTTTCTGTGATAAAATGAAAATCTGAAAGCTTTATTAAGTCTGAGTGACACCTAAAGCTGAGAGCCAACAGGAAAATAAGTCATGTGGGATCTAGTTTCAGTTCATTTTTGCTCAATTCCCATCTCCTGATCAAATACTGCACTTTCCAGTAGGGGCTTAATGGGAGTGTCAAGTTCACAAAGGCCCTCTCTCTCCCACTGACTCCATTACCTGATAACAGCGCTGGTTTTGGCACTTATTTGCACAGTGCAGGGCTAAGCTCGGCTTGTGCCGCGCGCATTCGAAGCAGGTTGTAATTGAAGCTGTATTGAGACCATTTTATTAATTTTTACAAATCTTCCCTGCCTGTATTTCCGAGCTACTACGGGCACTAACCCATCTCATTTTCCTTTGTGTACTCTGACTACTTGTGCTGCTCTTTTGAATGCTGCTTCTCTTTAAGCCAAACAAACATGACCACTGGTGTCTTGGGTTCAGGGCCTTTCAAACAACCTTTCAATAAAACAAGATCAGCTGTGAGACATACAGGATCTCACATGCTGGGCAGCCCCGCTGAAAATACCCTCCCTCCTGTTTCAAAGCCATCAGCTTTTGGTTCCCCCAGGAGAGCCAGCATTATCCTGCAGGGTTTATTTAAACTTGTTGGGAAGGTCTTGCCTTTTCTTTTTGATACACTAGGTTATTTGACATTTAGGCGAACCCTGTCACATTTAAAACCTGATTTTATTCGGCTTATTGGTTCAGATTTCAAAACTTTAGTTGCCAATTTCCCAGTAAACGCAAACAGTGGCAGATTTAAGATAGGGGGTCGAGTAATGCTGCGCCTGCCGCACTTGCAGCTCGTCCTATGTTTAGGCATAGGATGACTGATGATGCGACGCCTGCGAAGCCTGCCATGCTGCTAGACTTAACATTTTGTGAGAGACAGTAACCTGAAAGAGAGGAGAAGCATGAGGAAAAAGGACGGGAAAAAAGCGACAAATAGGGACAGATGACACAGGCATCTTTTACAGCTTGATAGTGCAGTCCCCGACTTGTTTTTATTGACCTTTTCTATCTACAGTAGAAGATGTGCCACTTAAATAAATGTCATTTGACCATCTTTGGTTTCAGTGTCACACGCTGACATGTGGTATTTTGATAGAATTCATCCGTTTGTGTGGATAGCGTATCCACTTCGGCTGCTGTGTTGCGTCACCTTATATAGGGCTTTATTTCACTCGATGTGGGCACTTTCAGAGCATCCTTAACTGCCTCTTAAATCAACAAACTGGTCAGTCTCAGTGCGTTACTTTTTTTTGTACCACCCTAGGAGGACACTATGCTTTGGCTGAGACATTATTGGACCATTAAATCGCCACCCCTCCCACTCGCAACCACTTTCGGTTCTGTTTTAAGGCTTTGGAATTACGTCCAGGTGGTGGGGGGGTTGCAAAAAAGACTGCTGGAAAGGCTACTTATTCTCTTAATGATGTCTTGTCCTTTTTAAAAGTCGTCATCTTCATTCACAAATGGATGACTATAGCAGAGGAGCACCCCGAGGGACTGAGGTCATCCCAACCTCCTTGTCCCAGCAAAGGAAGTTACTGTGTATGAAATGAGGCATGACAGTTTGCGTTAAAAATTAAATTTGTTGACATCGGGTGGGGGGTAGAATCTAATGGCACATAGTAATTATTATAGGGGTGGATTAGTTAGGCAGGTATTTATGATAAGTTTCCTGCCCATTAGTAGCTGCGCCCAGGGAAATGGGGAATGTTTTGTTGCATGCCAAATCTAAATCTCCAACTTAATAGTGTATTTAAAATGTGACACTGTTAGTTTTCACTAAACTGCTGTAAATACAGTATCTTTTTATTCAAGTATACAAAGTTAAAGACGTTTCAAAGCTTTTGAAATTTAAGCCTTTTTTCAGTGTCTGATTTTATGACTAGAGGCTCCTTACTCTGGTGGTTTACACAACTGCTTAACACGGGACAGATTCCCGGTTCAGTCTTGGGAGGAGATACGAATGCCTTTGGGGGTGTGACAGGAAGGGCATCAGGTGTAAAAAAATAAATAAATAAATCTGCCATATCAAACATACAGAGCTACCTGCTGCGGTGACCTCTTGTGAAGAAGAAAGTCCCTTTCATGAGTGATGCAGTGACTAAAAGTTTAGACCAAGGATCATTATTTTTATCAAATACTTTTGAAATAGTAGAAGGTTTTTACTAATGCACAGACTTTATACAAACTTGGATGAGTTTTGCTCCTTCAGGTAATTTTTCTGTCCTGTTTAGTAAATAAAAATTTAACTGGAGGAACTCATTTCTCATTTTTAGTGCTGTACTTTTTTAGAGCTATGCTTTTTTTTGTCCTTTTGTATGCACTGTAGATGTATTTAACTGTGATTTCATGGGAGTATAATAACATAAAAATAACAAATAACAAAACAAAAACAACTGGACGTTCAAGATTTTCCCAAATTATTCTTGAAAGCTTCACACAAGTTTGAAAAGTAAATAAGGAGAGCACCTGAAACAATAGTACAGTTTACTGCATGTTGCCTTTTCCTTCAATCCCCGAACCTTTGGACTGCCTACAAGCTCACATCAAGCGAGCGAGGTGTAGTCGGTGATATACATGACACGCGTCTCTAAGGACCCTCTGATTTGTATAATATCCTTCAGACAAGGTCATAGCATTGCCTACATCTTTGAAGATAGAGGAAAGAGAACATGTTCCCCCCTCATTGTGCCTGTGGAATAGAACAAACGTGAGATCACGGTGTCGAGGGGCTTCCACTCTTCAAAGTTGATATGAATCAGACATGAAATGATTTAGATAAAGTGATAGTTATCTTGATTCCCGGCGCCGTCCGTTGAATAGACACGGCGACGCGCGGGGAAGCTGAATGGCTGTGTTTTAGTGTGAAATCCCGGGGAAACGTATCCATCTGGTATATGAATAATTTAGATGGCTGAAGTTGGTTCCTGTTGCTGTTGTGTTTGCGCTCAGCTTTCTCTCTCAGCTCAGCACCCCCACCATCACCCTCCCTCCTTGACATCACTCCTGAGGTTTGTTTGTGATGCTTAAAGGGAAGTTGGGCCACATGAGGAATCGAGGGGAGGAGAGACTCACTTTCCCTCTCTGCTGTGCTTTCTGTGTCTTCTTTCTTTCTTAGATCTACATAAACCTCAGATAAACAGTTAAACACCCGCTGACACACATAGCCTGTCAGCCAGCCAGGCATGTTGCATGTGGGAAACACTCTTCAGATATCGAGACGCTTTGTTTTATATGGTAGACATTGCACACGTTTGAAACTTGTATACACTGGATTCTCTTAATTGAAATCTGATTTTTTTTTTTAGTGTTCACTGAGCATCATGGTAATGAGGCTGGGTGTGACTGCAGATGGATATTTATTTGACACATATAAATGGATATTTGGTGGAAGGTCTTCCAATATGGAGCAGTGTAAAATGGATTCAAAGATCTGAATTGTCCCTGCAGCACCAAGCAAAGGCAAACACACGCGTGCACGTACAACAATCACACGTATGCAGAATTTACGGTTTCAGCGCAGATGTACAAAATTGCAATTGTGTACATGCACTTGCATAACAAACAACAGCAACAACAAAACACGTGTTCTGGCAAAAATGTGCAAAAGTGTTTGTGGACAGATAACACACAAACATGCAAATCCACTAATATGCCAGGCCAGCTATACTAATCCAGTCCCTGTCTTTAAGGGAACCAGTCAGGATGAGGAGGGGGGGAGAGGGGGGGGGCATTGAGGAATAGGAGGAGGGAAAGACAGAGAGAGGGAGAGAGAGAGAGAGAGAGGAGGGAGAGGGAGGGAGGGGATGTGACAGGCCCTTGGAATCTCAACCTCTCTCTCCTGGCGCCCGCACTAATCAACCCCTGTAATTTATGCAGAAAATATGATTTATATTTAATTTCACTACACTTGCATTGTTAATTTGAGATGTAATTAACGCGTCGCCACGGCAACTAATTTCTCAATGCCGTAAATTATCACCGCCTTTTCATCAAAATTCAGTTACTTTGGCTCCTGTGTGCAGTGTTGTGATGCAATTAGGTTACCAGGGCAACCCCAAAGTGTTAATTTTCTTTTGTTATATTGCAGCGAGGCAGAAGTTTTTAAAACACAAATCATATTCACTTTTTTAGTGAACAAAGAACTTGGGACTTTTTTTTCTTTCTTTAGTTTAAAAAAAAAGGAGGGAGGGTGGACGCGATGTTGAATGTTGGATACCGTTCTGCCGTTCATGAGCACCGGTATATAACCCTGCACGCTGCTCTTCACAACACTTATATATGTACTGTCGTGACGTGGACTGAGTGATTGCTGAGAATTCTTTGATATTGCGAGCAGGGGCGCTTCAAAGTTGTCCTTTGGGAAAGGGCATGTTTGTCAAAGGAAATCTATATAAATGAGAAATATGTACAAATTTAAGAGAGCTCTCTTTTCTCTCTCTTACTTTTTTTCTCATACCAATATTCTCTCTCTCACACACACACCACAGCACATTTTCAGTACTCACACTCTTTTTATTCCCCCAACAGTGACTGTGAAATGACTCAATATTTTAATCAACTGTATCTAATTTGCACTCCAACAGAAGATAGGGCCACATGTGTGCTGTTGTTGCCTTTGCTGGCAATGAGTATGCCCACCGGATGGCTCTGAGCCGCCCTGGATTGCCACGCATGGCAGTCTCTGTGGCCCACTCGGTGCGTCCGTCTCCAATCCATCCCCCCTTAGCTAGTCTTCAGTGGAAATATCAGGTCATTGGCTGCTAAGCTGTGGTTAACTGCAAAGGTAATTAAATTTGGGAGCAGGCTTTTTGAATCTTTTTAGCCTCTTCGGTAATACCAGCAGGAATTACAGCGTTTTTTCGAAGCGAGGTGCTATTTTGACACCCTGGCAGAAGGGGGCCAAGTACCAGTGACCGCACAGAGTTTACAAAAGCCAAAGTACCGATTTGCAGGAGACTCTTTAGGAAGACCAAACCCCCCCCAAAAAGATGATTTCATTTTTCCAGTTTTTGAATATTACCCATTGTAAGAGAAAGACAAAGCCCTGCATTTCTGGTGTTTAAACTGTGCATAGCAAAAGTGCACTTGCCTTGCTCATCACACTTGTGATAAATACTAGACGCTGTGCAGAAATCTGAAAATGCAAAATTGATTCCACTGTCTCCAAACCAGTGATTTGTAACATATTGTCATTAATGTACTGCTGTTTTTTTTTGTTGGGTTTGTGTACAAAAGTTAGAAGCTTGAGTATCCCTCTTCAGCCTCAAGCAGCTGACAAAGTTATTTGTCCAGTGATGTCAAACTTTCTCTAAATAACAATTAGAAGTCACAATGAGGCTGAACCGCCTAATCAAAAGCAGCATAATAGGACATCTAACCTGTCTGGCATGTCTTGCTTGATTAGAACAACATAGTCAAAATATACTTGCTATTGTCCTGGTGGGTGCAAAGTACGGCTGCAAGGAAAGGTCATCAAGGAAGTTTTTATGTAACTCGCTCTGTAAAAACATTACGTTGATTAGACTTGTTTATTTATTCAGGTCCAAAAGAGTATTTGCTTTTGTCGCATTTATTCCCATTTTGCCAGCACAAGGGGCCCTGGAAGACGAGTTACCAAGGAACACAAAATTTTAATTAGTGTATTTTAATCATTCAGGCTTTTCAAGCTAATCCACAGACCCCTGAGAATTCCCAAGATGCAGCTCTGTGCTGCTTTACCATTTATTGTTGAGTCTATTATAATTACTGTTAGCAGGTGGGGGCAGGGAGACGTTTATTATGTTTTTCCATCTTTATTATAATTACCAGAAAAAATGAAAGGATGCTGTTTCATTAAGTTTAGAGATGATGCCATTTTCCCCCTGTTTTCCCCTCAATCTCCTTCCTGCCTTTGTTTCATAAAGCTATTGTACTGGCTTTCATTCCAGGGCTTTCATACGTTGCACAGCTTTATGAGAAAAAAACAACAAAAAGAAACAGATCTTTTATTAAGAACAGAAGAGGGGGAAGATGGTCTTAAAGAACTTAATTTCTGAGACAGTTTTCCTCCCTTTTTTTCTCCTAAATGCAAGCAGTGCTCTGAGAATGAAGTTGACACATCCTCTGAAACACAAATGTTTAATCGAGTTGGACTGGGATCAGAACAGAAATGCAGAAAGTAGAATATGTTTGCCTCTCTTTCACACTTGTCAGTAATGAAAGATAAGAGGACTGCAGTAAATCTTTAAGCCCCATGCTTTTGGTGCTCTGCAGGGATTTTAGCATCATCCAGAAATATTTTATGTTTGTCTGTTTGTTTAAATATTATTTTGCCACTCCCTCTTCCTCTGCTCGAGTCCCAAATGTGTGGCAATTGTGTATCTAAAACAATCAGGCTGCTGAAGTGATGAATCAAATAAAGTGGAGTTTTCTCAATTAGAATCCTTTTTGTGTCTGTATTTATGATACTTCTTGGAGGAGTAAATAAAGAGCCAACTTCTAGCACAGCAGTGTTGCTTTTTAAATGAAGAGAGGCTGATTTACGAAGTAAATGTGCCTTTTGTGCATGACAGAGGAAAGCACATCAGCCGTTTTCTGCTGGTGCCGTGTGGGTTGACTAGTTGATCAGAGCTTGTAGTATGGTTATGTTGGAGTCAACTACATCGCATAAAACTTAACGCTTGCTATCATTTCAATGTCTGTCAAGGGCACCATTTTGGCAATGATCTCATCAATTTTCTTAAGTGAGCAGATCTGAAGCCGTCACTTGGCCAGAAAGCAGTATGCCCAAGAATTGTATTTCACATTGATATGATTAGACTTCCAGTTCTGTAAATGGTTGCGGTGCTCCAAGTCTTTCTTCATAAACACCTGAAGGGCAAAACTGAATACATACAGTACCTCTGCAAACACTCTGGATTTAAAACAAACTTTAAAACGGTAAAAAATCATTACCCAGCAGCAGCTATGTAATAGTCGTGTCATTACCACAAGTCATGACAAGACAGGCATAACTCTGAGGAGGCGAATGGGCAGATTGGCTCAAGAGATAAACGTTGGGGCTTACTTTGTCAAGCACTTGAAGATTGTTTGCATCCACGGTGTAACATGTAACAGAGATCTGAAGCTCACTGCACCTGTGTCAGTAAAACAAAGCACAACTTTCATGTTAGTTGTTAGATGACTCGTCTTTCTTTTGATTTGCAAGGATTAGCTGGAAATTAATAATAAATAACGAAAGAGAAAGCGATATTCTTATTTGTAGAAAAGCTGTTTTACAGGTCTTGCAGTACGTGAACCTGAACAGAGCATGTCAGATGTTCTCGTTGACAAACTGTCAGATCATTCCAGTTTATGTGGGTGCCATGTGTAACTGGTTGTGATGTTTTATCTCTGTTCTGCCCAGTAAGAACAAGATTTGTTTTATTGTGACATGGTGATCTTTGCACTGCATGGGTCTTGCAATATGCTAATTAATTAGCAAAAAACAAAAGAACAAATGCTAACTTCTAATGGATTGTTAGCATTAGCATCCGTTGTAAGATCTAAGAGTTTGAAAAGAAGACGACTGGATTTCCTTAGGTTTTTTTCTTTTTTAATGTATAATAAAAAAAACTGTAATGACCTGGATGAGTGAGAACCTATACAGGTATACATGCTAGCTAGCTACAAACATTTAGCAGTTGCAAAACATCTGCACAGGAATGCAGTTTTACATTTGTGAAAACTAGCCAACCTCTATTTCATTTCGTTTTCATTTTTCTTTTTTTAAGTGTGTGAAAATGTGAAGAAAGTTTAACCCATTATGATAGCAAAAAGCACATTACTTGTATATTGCTGTCTGCCACAAACATAGTCCAGTAAAACTTGCCACTGTTGGGAAATTACATCAAACATACTTTTAGTGTGCTACCTTTCAAACAACTGTAGTGGGGGTTTTTTTGTTTTATCATGTTGTTTCCAGTGATGGTTTCCAGTCACATGGGCCTAGGGACCAATTGGCAACCTCCTTGCAAACTCCTGGCAACTATTAGTCGCTATGGAAAAATTGCTAGAGCATACCGGCAGTTACTGTGAAATCATCTGCTAAATCCACGCAGGCAGTCACGCAGGTCTAGAGAACAGTCAGTGAACCTCCTGGTGATCATAGCTCACAAGGGAAAAATGTGTATTCCCCAACCAGTTGCCAATTGTTTGCCGGAGGTTGTTTGCTTTGGTTAGTTGAAATTGATTGCAAAGAAACATGCTGCACCAAAAACCTTGTGATTCTTTGATCACTAGCAGATTGCTACGTCACCTGTAGTTTGGATGGATTTGCATGGAAGTGGTAGTGAAACTGAAGAGTGCAATGCACACCAGAAACAGAGACTGTCACACTTTTCACAGTTTCACTACCACTCTGCGGTTGGCTGGCAAACTATTGTGCAGACTGTGGCTGTCTGAGCCCAAATCAATCGTCAGGAGGTTTTTGGAGCAGACCCTTCTTTGCGACTGATTTCCCTTAATGACAGTCAGCAAATTCCAGCAACTGCTCGTCAATTGTTTGAAAATACAGTTTTCCCCAGCAACCAGATGTTTTCAGGGGGTCACTGTCCAGTCTCTAGGCCTGCACGACCTTAGCAACTATCTAGCTGTGCAGCTATGGTATCATTTGGCTGGGAGTCACTAACCAGAAAACAGCACCATCCTCAGTAACTTAAGCCTGTCATGAATGTATTTTCTCA